TTTTGTCTTCTAAAATTTCTAAAATTTCATGAATAGTTTTTGAAAAAGTTTGAAACAAGATAAACAAGATCATTTAGGTAAATAAACAAAATCATTTTATGTTACATATTTAGTCTATTAAATGAAATATTACATTTTTCGTGATATTTTGTGCAATAAAAATTTTGAAAATTTACGAAAAGCTTTTTGTAATATTCTGTAAAAATTAACGAAATCTTTTGATGTAAAAAAATTTTGAAAATTTCTGCAAAAATTTTTGCAAAATTTTATATCAAAAAATTTCGAAGATTTATGAAAATTTACAGAAATTTATATAAAAATTTATGTAAATTTTACATTCTGTAAACTTATGGAATTATTCATCCTTAAAAATTTCCTGATATATAAGAGTTATTCATATGAATTACTACATATGAATATTCACATAGAATATATTTTTAAATTCTTTCAGTTCGAGTTAATTGAGCATCTTCTTTTGAAGTTAGTTTTGTAGTTAAATATTCGAGATCCCAAATTATATGATATAGGTTTGGTTGCATGTATTTATGGTTACTAAAAGCTTTAATATTTTTTTCCAATGTGAAGATTTTTGATATTTGAGAAGTATTATTTACTCCTAAATATTTTTTGAAATTTGTCCTATGTTCATTAAATCCTTTTTCTGTAGAATATACATGAAGGCAAAAATGGCATAGATATTTTTTTTCTTTGTGTTTACTATGATTGTAAACTAGTTTATGGAAATCCTTAATTATACAATAATGTGTTTGAAGATTTTCTAAGTCATCAGTTTCTGAAATAACTAAAAGATTTACCTACTTAAATTCTGCACTTCTTCTTTCTAAAAGATATCGAAATTTGAGATACTTATTTTGATTAGACCATTTATATATACAAAGACTGATCTCAGAATTATTTTCTTCGAATTTTTAATAAATTGGTATAGAGACTAGTACTGAAATTGGAATGTCTTCTATATTAAGCTTTTCTATATATTTAGCATATATTTGATGAGAATTTCTTTTTAGATATACTTTAACAAGGTGCAATGCTCCTAAAACACACCATCCAAAATACTAGTCATTATTATTTTGCATATTGATAATACCATTATTTCATTTTGACATTATTTTTGATAATGGTATATGACATGCTGGTTCAATTAGATTAAAATCAGTTATTTTAATGCTAAATTCTTCGATATGCTCTAGATATGTATCTGATATTTTATGTAGTATACTAAGTCTAACTTTTGTATTATATTTTTCTATACAAAATCTTTTTTTTAAATAATTAATTCATATCATATTTTCAAAAATGATTGGTGAGTATTTGTGTCTATATATTTATAACTCTGATATTGTTTGCTTTAAACCTTGTATTCAACCAAAGGAGTGTCAGTTTCATTGGAAAGCTAAAAAACGAGTATCATACTCTGACTGTAGTAAACCTACTGGATCAATTTCTGATCATTATTCTTTATATACTAGAGGGTATTATGTTACTCAATACTATCAAAGATTACATGTTAAGGCTTTTGAAAATATTAAATAATACTTTTTCAATTATAGATTTCAAGAAATAAATAAGTATTCTTTTATTTGAAAAAATTATAAAGCTATACTAAAATATTAAATTAGATATTCAATCTATTGATAATATTTTTCTGGTCCTTTATCTGTTGTATAATATTCAGAATCAGTATTTTCTTCTATTTCTAGATAACAAGTTATTGGTATTTCAAAATTGTTAGATTTACATGAAAACTTTTTATTAAGATGTTCTCGAAGCTTTTGTGATATTAATAATATTTTATTACATTTTGCACAGGTATGATTTTTTTTATCTTTTTTAGCCATTATATTTTTATTATATATTTATTACTTTAATAAAACATGTTATATTTTTTGGTAAATTTTTGTATATCAGAAACTTAATCTAGAGTGCTAAATACCAAGGACAATTTTGATATCAAGAGATTAGACTTAAGTATATATGTTCCCAAAATTGATTTTGGATTTTTGAAGTATTTCGACTTTTTGAGATTTATGCAAAATCTATTCTATATATGGAAGTAAAAAAAGTAACTAATTATATATATCTTTAATCAAAGAATAAATCTGAGTGATCAAAAAATTTCAGATTTTAAGTAAAATAATTTCGTTTTCTATGAAACTATTTCGACTTTTTTTCCTGAAATTGCAATTTCAGGACTTCAAAATAATTTTGCGTGTAAATATAGACTTAAGATTATATTTTTTAGTAAAATTTTATATATCAGGAACTTAATCTAGAGTACTAAATATCAAGGACAATTTTGATATCAAGAGGTTAGACTTTGGTTAGATTTAGTGAAATGATGTGTATTTTAGCTTGTTATCATGTCAAAGAGGGAATCAGGGATATTTATTATATTCATATCCCTTCTCCATTTCTCTTTGTTTTTTAATAGCAAGCAGAGTAGCATAAAATAAATCTAACAAAAATATAATGAAAATGTGATCTAAAACATAAATTACATGTTGTTACTAGTTGACCTTTTGAGCTAATTTTATTTTCCAAAAGGCAATTTACAACTAGCAACTCGTAAACAGTTACTTTAGTTTACGAATTGAAGAGGA